CAGAGCCAACAGGCAGCAGTTGTGAAAAGAGCTGCAGCGTTGGAGGGACGCGACCGCGCGGTCCGCGTCCAGGGCTGGGGCCGTCTCACGTGGGGCAGCTCCGTGGGAGGGTCCCCAGCGCCCCGGTGGGGATGCACACCACCTCCGTTTCTGCCAGCGCTTGGGCTGACGTTAGAGCTCTACCTTCCCCTTGCTGTTTTGGCCTTTGGGTAGCCGCTTTTATGGGCAAAAGCGTGCTGGCTGCATGTTCTCTATCTGATGCAACTGGCCTTGTGCCACATTGGCTTTTCTGCCGCATTTTCGTTATCATGAAGAAGCTGAGATACAGTGTCTGTACGCAGAGGGCTTGACTCATTTCCAGGACAGCCTTGCTGACTGCGACGGGAGGGCTGCCCTGGCCGCTGCAGATGCAGCGTGCAGCACGATTAGTGCGTTAAGTCTTGGTGATTTCCAGATCCAAATACAAGATGTAAACTTTTTTTTTATTATTATTGTCTTTTATCCCTTTCAGGCCAGTGAAAGGCTGACTCCTGAGACTCAAAGAGCATCGTTTTCACCTTTTAGGTAATAATAAACAAGAAATATTCTGTTAGGCCCTATCATGGCTTTAGCAGTAGCCACGCGCAGCCCGTGATTCACGCGTGCAGCTTTGCAAACGTGTTCGTTCATGAGGCACAAGATGGAATAAAACTAGGCTCCCTCCTCAACCCAAGGAAGCAGGAGCAGCGGTAGCTCTGGGCAGTAGCAAGGCAGCGAGCAGAAGGGCCTTCGCCACCAGCTGGTCACGGCTCTGCTGCCGGAGAAGGTGGCATGTTTGGGTGGTCCTTTTGCAGAAGAGAAACGCGCTTGAAAGGCCTGCTTTGACGTACCTTGTTTATATGAACTCTTAAAAGTCTAGCTGTTAAATAATGCTTTTTTTTTTTTTCTTTTACAATGCTTTGCTCTTGATGTTATTGTTTGATCAGTGCTTAAAATAGTTTTCAGTCTTTCACAAAAGGTTGTTTTAATTGCAGGTTTAGGTTAGAACAACCATGCATGCATGAAAGGATCTTAACTTAAACTAACAGAGTTATGTGTGCACAAGGTTCTTAAATGTAAGGTGTGTGCTGCTATTTCACATATTGCGACTTTTTTTTTTTTGATAGTGGCAATTATGAAATAATTAAAAATAAAAAAACCCCGTAACTTTATATACTTTATAAAGCTATTTAAGCTGCATTTGCAAAAAGTAACCCCTGACTGAACCCTGAAATGCTTGCTTCTAGAAATGCAAGCCAATACCTTTTTATAGCAGCACACTGACAGGGATAATTTATGTATTTCACAGTATAGAAAATTCTGGAGGCAGCGTTATTTTTAGCCATGTAACCTTTAAGCATATTTGTCTAAATGCTAGTAAATTAGTTTTTAACAGGTGAATGACTTAATATAGCAAGGCAGATGAATTACAGATGTGGATAAAGTCTTTCCAAATTGCTTTTTTCCTGGCTTCAAATTGTTCATCTGGGATGGCTAGAAGCCAGCTGTGGGGATTATTGATAAAAATGAGTTAAGAATAGATTAGAAGATTTCCCTTGTGAGGTATAATGTTTCTCTGTTGACTGTGTTATTTTCCATCTTCCATTAGACACTGCAAGCCAGGATTTTTTTTTAACCCAATTTTAAAGAATTCACATTCTATTAGAATTATTTTATTATATGCTTGAGTTTCTTGTTGCAGAGTGAGGAATGTTATTTTAAAAAGGGCTGTTACTATTAGCTATTACAAGCGAGAGGAACAGACTTTTCACGTTTTTGATTAGGGTTTGATTTTTGTCTGTGGAAGCGTAAAATTTTCTCTTTTCTCCTAAGGAATTGCCTGCTGCCTGCACTGGGCAACTGAAGCGCACGATACCTGTTAATTTTAATCAATCAGTGGTGCAAATTCTTCAGTGAACACTGAAGTTTTAGATCCGTTGTGTTTTTTTGCATAGTTTCTTTGCTCTCTGTCTCTTTTCACTATTGCTCTTTATATTTAATAAATTCAGGTTCCTGAGAAGATTAAAATAGTCTCTGGCGTGTACAGAAGGATGAAGGGATGGAGTTATAGCTGGGGAAATCATCTGGAACGCGATAGTGAAAAAAGCATCATCCGTTCTAAATGAGGCTTTCACCTACAGGATGTGTAAGAAAGGTCTAATAACTATGGAAATTACATGAAGTCTGTAGAGCGCCCTTGGTCGCCCTTCTCATCTGCGTTTCGATGAGCAGCTGCAAGGAAGGAGTGCTGGAAACAACAGCATTGAACAAGTCTTGCGTTCTGAGCTAGCAGTGTGGAGACAGGACGGCAGATGGTAAATGGGGTAAAGCCCTAGGTGTTTCGGGTTCAGCTCTAAACCTTGTCTTCCTGTGTGGTCATCATCGTGTATTCTCTTATAACCTTTTTTCAGCTATGTGTAACAAATATAATTCCTTCTCTCATGCATATTATGAGAGTTATTTTATTAATTTCCGCAAATCTTTTTTCAATCTTGAGAATAAAATTTTTAAGCACTACATTTTCATGTGATTTTTTTTAACTGTAAAACAAGCTGCAGTTCATCACATGTGCTGGTAATATAAGTGTAGCCCTAAACCACTTCTTTCCTGGCAGTTTCCCCACTTCTGATCTTTTTCTGACTCTAATTTTTTGAGAGCTATTGGATACTGTTGGTAACTTCGTAGTGTAAATAACCTCTACTCCTCTAAAGGCAAACTTATCTGAGGTGCGGATTATATACATGAAGATACTGTATTTAAAATGACTTCTTTTCACCTCTGCTGTCTCTCACTGAATTCATGTGCAACTGGCACAACTGGAAATCTCAACAGTGTGAAGTGTGATGGTGAATGAAATGAAATGTCATTACCTTCTCGAAATGAAATGTCACTACCTTTGCAGAAGCTATTTCAGTCGCTTTATGATGACTGAACTTCAGAGCAAGTCATTATTCAAATGTTCTTATCCTAGGAGACCTGGTAAGAAGTTTCAAATGGGATCTGGGAAGCGTAAGCTGAATGAAGAAATGATACAACATAGGTAATATTTATAGAGGCAATGCAATAAATTATGAGAGTTAACAAAAATGTAACCATAAAAATAGAAGGAAGTTTACCAAAAGCAGAATATAGCTCTTCTGTGGTGTAAAACTGGTTCTGCCTCTCAGAAGATTTTTCCATTTGTGAATGTGATAATTTAGGATATGTATTGCATCATTAGACTTTTGCTGATTTTAAGATTTACTATTATTATTCCACAAAGTCTCACTTATTCTTGTCGTCTCGTTATTCTTTCTCTTTTAAATTTCAGATGAAGTATATCTTCACTGCCAGGAAGAAGTTTTCGATATTCAGCAGTGTTTTCAGTGGTAGTCAGGCCAATGTAGCAGCTTGGTTTTGCTTCTTTTCCTTCTTCCCTCCCCTGTCTCTTCCTTCCTCTGCCCTTTCCTCTCTTTGCTTATTGCTCCGCTCATTCTTGGCTATGCAGTCCTGCCCCTTTCTTGGACTGGTTTTGAACTTGAATTGAGCTAATTTATCTTTCTAAGATAATATAAAACTTATCAACACTTTTTCGGGACCATTTTCTGCCATGTGAATGAGTTAAATTAGTCCATGGAAGGGTCTGATAAATGCTAGAGGAGGTCCCGGGCAAGTCGACGAGAGGTTGGATGGGAAATTGGAAGTGAGAAACCCTTATGACAGCGTGTTAACTTCAGCTCTTTGTGAATCATTTACAGATTTGTAGAAGGTAGAATTCTGTATTATGGCCTTTTCTAAGACATCATCAGCCTACACACTGGATGTATGGCCCAGCTCAATGAGGTGGTTCTGACTGATGGGATCAGAGACCTGGACTGGAATCTCAGGCAAATGTGGAAAAAAAAACCCAGTTGGTTTTGGTGTTTGGAAAAGATGGCACTACGCCTGAGGGAATTGTCCCAGTCTTTCTTTTTTCTCCTGCTCCCCTCGCAGGATGAGGGGAGGATCTCACTTTTTTAGCTGTGGAATGATTAGAAAATGATTTTCTGTACCAATAGATTTTGAAGAGGTATCAGCAACCTTATGAAAGCCAAGTCTAATTTGCATTGCAGCTGTTTGTATCTCTTCGTTCTGCTGACAGACAACAGAGGAACTGTGGGTTTGTATGGAAACACTTGGCCAAAATATGTTTGGTGAAAATTTATTATTTGAGGAGTATATCCCAGAATGAATACAGTCAGAACTGTGGAGACAGCCTGCATGGCATTACTGAAAATCTTCCCCCTTTTTACCATGTCACTGTTTTTTCCTTTCTCCCCCATATGGAAAGTTTTTCCCTTTCTGGACTTTGCTTTGTGTTGCCTTGAAACATTGCAGACTTCCTCATGCAAATTATGCAAATATCAATGTAGGTACTTAAAGGTTGTGGCAATGACACAAAAAGTGCAAGACTGAGACAGAATGATCATTTTTTAAAGCAAAGGCTATGTAACTATGGGAGAACTAATTTCCATGTTACATATGTAAATTATTTGGAGATAATTCTGTTTAACAGTCTGCAAAAGTCTTGTTCAACCAGTGAACTATAAATGTTAAGGAAGGTTGGGTCGTACAGATATTGCGGCAGTGGTGAAGCAGAAAACCCTCAGATCTAAAAATGAGTTTACTACCCCTTAACTTTGATAGCTGAAAGAATTTTGTTCACGTTTCAAAACAAATTGACCTTCTAGTAGGGGCCAAGCAGGAAACTTTTCGCCAAAGGTGAATGGTTTGGAAAGTTCAGAGCATGTGTGAGAGGGGAAACAGTGGAAGCTACTTTTTGTTTGGAACACGCTTCTGCACTGAAAGCCAGTTTTATAAAAATGTCATCCTTTTTTAAAAAAAGAGTCTATTTTTTTTATGTGTATAGTCAGCCTCAGTTTTGTCCCTGTTTCGTGTCATGCGTGCAGGTTGTTACAGTCACTGCAGTCAATAGCTGTGCTTTAATGTTTTTAATCACTGAGCCCTTCGCGGCCAGCCCAGCCACAGCGAATGAAGCGGATGCTAACCCGTCTTCGGCCAGAAGTGGAAGCGTTCCCTGAAGTAGGGGAGGCCGCAGATCCACGATTCACGGAAGGTAACCTAGATGGAGATCAGGGAGTTCATCTCTCTCCTTTTCATTCATGAGTATTGCTCCAAAACTTCCAGTAAGGAAGTACTTGGACCTTAGTCCAGCAAAGCACTTAAGTAATGCCTTCAAAGACCACGTCACTTCTCCTGGAGTTCTGCTGATGGGTTGAGGCCCTAAATCATGACAGGAGTAATCCACAGATGTTTGTTTTGGCATAAATGCATGTCTTTCAGTTTGCTACACTTGAGCTTTCCATCAGATTTTAATCTTGTATAAGATCACCTGAGATGCAAGAAGCAAGTATAAGTGACCTCAAATTCTGTGCGTCAGTTGTCTCATAGGGACAGTTAGCAGTGTTAATCTTCAAGAGAACTACAAAAATTATATAAATAGGAGCAGAACAGTGTGTTCCTTTATCCACACAGTGCATTAGACTAGTCCTGCCACGTGAACGATCTACCAACATAAATAACGTTATTGCACTGAAATTTTCAGCCAACCATTCCTGGCTTTGGCAAGGCTCTTGCTGTACAACGAGGTGACCTCAGGCTGGGAAGAGACTCTATATTTTTGTCAGATATACATACGTTTGGTAAGAAACAGCTCAAGTCAGTGCCTGGCAGGTGTACAGCCACGCAAGTCAAAAAACTGATAGAGACGTGGGAAGGTGTAGATTTATACAAAATATGTATTGATGAAGTTATCTTCCAGCTACCAGAATGGCTGCAGGTGTCAGTAAGTGTTTACAAAACATAGCAGAAGTAGGCGGGCAGCAGATGCTCAGCGGCATATGGGTTATAGCTCAGAATTGGACATTATTGACTGACTGCAGACGCCTCACTGCTAGTTTATGTATGTAGAGATAAATGTCTCCATACAAATATTTGGAATATCTGGAAAAACTGACTTAAGTAGCTAGTGCAACCCAGTTTGAAAGTTACTGGCACTTCCACTTGCAAAAAAAGTGTGTTTTGTGTCCTAAGAAGTACTTGAGAATAACACACAGGATAGAAATCCTAGTATAACATGAGACCATAATTCACCCTTTTTGAAATGAGCTGAACGTGGAAGAGCGAAGTCCAGTATTCCTTTACTTACAAGCATGTCAGTGACAGTGGTTGTTTTGTTCTAGGTGAGGGCCAACGTGCTATCAGCATACACCTAGGCGCTTCAGCTAGATCCCAAACGAGGGTCTCTAGGGCTTTTCCATCCTTTCCTCTGCGTTTTCCAAGCTTTTGTGATCCCCAAACCAAAACCGTAGCAAGAGTCATAATGGGAGAGATAAAGCCTCAGAGTATCAAGATATTATTTCTATCAGAAATACCAGCTTCCTTAAAGAAGAGGTATTGGATTTAAAATTACTGACTGGGGTTAAACTCTATTTTCAAGTCGATAGTGAGAATCTACTGACCTCAATGCAAAGTGGGTTGTTCCAAGAGAGCCAGTACAAACATTCAGAGCTACTTGTAACAGTAGCAGACTATCTCAAAACCAGAGACAAAATACCACACTAACACAAAAATTTACTCTTTATGTATTAAGGAGAAGTCGTCGGTACAGCGTGCCAGGACAGAGCCATAGGAGAGAGACAAGAACTTCTGGTTTTACTTTATGCTGTTATCAAAAACTGCAGCTGACGACACATTTGCTGAGAATGTAAATGGACTTGAACTACATGGGGAAGTTAAGTAAGAAGGGATCTGTACTGTTATATGTACTTCTGCTAGCAAAGGACGTTCATGGTACTGACTGTACTGCACAAAGGTGAAGAGAGAAGGGAAATAGCACACGAGGCAGTACCTAAATGTCCAAGAGTTCCTTCTCCAGAACTTCTGTCTGGTGAATGATAGAGACCATCACTTTGTTTACACACAAGCAGCATTATGTCAATGCATAATTTATATTACATTATATAAATCGGTGCCAAAAGAGCACAGCTATGGATGCAAAATTGGGCATGTAGGAGAAATGCTTGAATTATAGTTCCTTGTAAAATTTTGCCTAGTCTTCCCTGAGTATATGCATCATGACATAGTCTTTAAATCTAGAATTCACATGCTGCTTTCATCTTGGAAGATGTTTTAAATGCATAGTTTCCCTCGTTCTGACGTGGCTGCAGCTAGCTCGTGCTCCCGGCTCTGCAGACTGTTCGCAGGTAAGTGACGCACGGGATCCACCTGGAACTGGTATTTTTTGGTGCCCTTCTGCTTTCTGCAGTTTCTGTACTGCTTTGCCATCACACAGTACATCTATAAACATAACCCGCAGTCACCTTTTGTACTTTCTCATTTTCTCCCCAGGCAAGTGTGGTCTAGTCTGGACTTTGCAGTAATCTCTGATGTACAAGC